TTTTTCCACGCACTGCGGCATCGTGAGACGTCAGAACGTTGGCCGTGTTTGGAGCATACTAAACAAAATAAGAGCTCACTTCTCAAGTGAGCTCTTATTTGGCGAGACGGTTTTCTTGCGTCGACCCGATATCTAGTTGTTATTGTTGATCGAAGACTCTTACTAACTGAAAGTTTTGTACGCGTTGAATAAAAACAAATGACAAGTCAATGACGTCATGCTGAAAATGAGAAGGACAGAAGTATATCGTGTTCTTTTTCTAAATAAAAATGTTCTATGCGTTAAATAAACAACAAATCACACGTCAGTGACGTCATGCTCAAACTGACAAAGACAGAAACTTATTATGTTCTCCTTTTAAATTATAAGGATAAAACTATCGTTTCACTCTTCATGTGCTATTAGAAGTAAAGTTAAAGTGGGACTATATTTGATTGAACTATAGTTTCATTATAAATAAAATCGGTATATAGATTTTCTAAGTCACCTATTGACATTTGTGTATGCAGCAGTGGTCAAATGAGTTCAGGTTAATGAATAGGTTTTTTAAAAGTCGGCAAGACGCATGTAATGCCTTAAGTGTTGCAGGTGTACATAGGCCACGGTAACATCTGGAGGGCCGTGTGCTTTTTTGCCACCGTCGCGTCGTGGTATAAAAAAGGTTATGTTTTAATTACTTACACTTTAGTATCGGTTTCTATGTTATTTAACAAAAAAAAGGAACAAAGCTTACGTTTTATATTATTTCGTAAAACGTAATAATGATAAGGGTCGCTTGATGTTCCGAAGTTAATAAAATTAGATTTAAAACCTAACCTAAAATAGACCTTGGATAATTTTTGCGAATATGCACTTGAACGTTTTATAGTGTTGTCAATACGAAAGAGACTTTCGCTTTTTAATTTTTTTAAACTAATCTTAAACGCAAATAAAAGTAATCAAAAATTATTACGTACAAAGCTTTATAGAATAAAGAATGGTTTTCTAAATTTTACAGTTAGATTTTACTGTAAAATTATGAACATCGATGTCTTTAGGGTATGACGTCAATGACTGTGAATATAACTGGATATTTCGATATTGCTATCGGATATTTCAGTGAAACGGTAACCAAAGTGTTATATTACTGTGAGTGGGATGATCTTCATCGGTGTATACATACTCGTCGGTCGTGTATGGTCCCTTTATCAGCAGGCAGTGGACGCCACCTAAAGAACAAATCTCTGATTTGACGACGCATAATTAGATATAATAGGAACGTGGGGTGTATGACCACTTAATGCATGGCGCTGACACAAAACACGTAGATATACTTGCATAATAGTTTACGAATTTGGTTTTTTATGGGATAATCCGGTAAATGAACAAATGGATCACCTAATGATAAGCATCGGCGGCTAAGTAATCGGCGTCGCCCATGTACACCCGGAACACCAGAGGCGTTACAAGTGCGTTACCGACCTATTGGGAATTAGGTTATTAGATAAGGCTAAATAAAAAGCATAGGACAATTATTATTTGCCTTTCAGTGTTTATAATTATGTTTTAAGACCTCTCAGACTCGAAAAACCGATACAGTCATATTGCTAATTTTTTCATCGTTTTGTAAACCTACTTTTAGCATTGGAGTCACTCTCGTGGTTAGTGAATAAAAGGTAGACTTGATGACCCTTCAACCTACATCAGACACAATAATCATGTCTAAAAGTCGTCTAATTTCGAAGTGAAAGAAAAAATTTGTTAATATCTACTATTAAACTTATAATTTTAAGTACCTACCCCTAATCAAAATAAATAGTAAGCTTTATGGTTACAACTACTTTATTACCGTTTTTATGAATAAAACCGACAATCTTTATCATAGGTCCCGATCGAAATTATCGTTTAAACTTTACTAATTGTTTCAATTAATTTGATAGTTGTTCTGCTAAAATCTTGGCACGTTAAAATGTTTTCACTAATAGCCATTAGTTTCAAGTTATAAAACCCTTATTAAAAAGAATATTTTGGAACGAAAATAGTAATTCCGAAATAAATCTTCAGTTGGGTACAGTTTTGATGAAGGAAAATCATCAGTTTTTTATCATTTTCTAGATTTATTTGAGAGGAATTGGCCTAAATTTCATTTTTTTTTAAAGAAAAGGCAACAACATAACATCAAGCCTTTTATCCACAATGTAACACCTACTTTTCACTATTTATGTTATGAGTCCCATGTAATAGGGGGTGAGCCTATTGCCAAATTGTCAGTATTTTTTTGAATTTTTTTGAAAAACCCAGTAGCTTTGCCCGACCCGGCAATCGAACCCGAAACCCCTTGCCCGGCAGTCACACTTGCGACCACTCGGCCAATGAAATATTGAAATTAATCTGACAGGTCTCATAAGGGAAATAAGTAGATAATGCTAGATGCAGCAATGACCCATAATTTCATAAATATTGTATGTTTATATAAGAAACTATTTACAAAAACAGTTTCTATGTACTCACTCATTCATAAACACAGAAGAATTGTATTCAAAGACCTATATACACATACACGTAAGCTATGAGCTACGTTATTGCTTGAAACTCACGTTTTTAATATAATGTTACTGTTCGGTTTTCGATATAGCGTTTACCCTTCAATCCTTCCTATCTTATTTGTTTTTTCTGAAGAATAGAATATTGAGTACATACCTATTGAGAAAAAGATGGCGCAGGTTGATCAAATATAATACTCCCATCTGACTAGTATGCATAACAAAATTGATATCTGTAGATAATTAAGGAGAAATAAATTACTGTCACAAAACTACTAAATAATTTTGTACTCCATTATTTCGGCCCGCTTAAATGGAAGATAGATGCGATGTGGCTATATAAATGCGCCTAATGTAAGTTTATCTGTCGCGGAGATCCTAACGGGTAGCCGGGGCTCCGACTCGACGTGCAGGAGAAGGAACGGGGTGGTTTTTAGTCAGTAAGAGTCTGACACTCCCTCCCGCCTCACCCAGGCGGGAGCCATTCGATAATTTTCCCCCCTTAAAAAAAAAATGTAAGTTTATCTACACTATGCAAAATTGTAATGACGCAAAAGTAAATTTTATATTGCATACCACTATTTTTTTAACACTCCAAAGTATAATTGGACATTTCGATTTCAAAATTCGATACAGCACACGTAGTTAGTACCTAGATAAAGTACAGTTTTGTTTATGATCCTATAAAAGAAAAATATAATGTTGAAGGAATATACAAAGAAATAGGAAGACTAGGAAAACGTCAACACGCAAACTTTAGCATAGGTATACCTACCTACTTTTTTCATATTTTTCTGCTTCATGACAATCTGTTTTCCAACAACAAAGCACTTCTTTATTTGATTTCTCAGTTTATTTATTTATTATTTATTGATTAACTCGGTATACACCAATATGTATACTCCAATTTATGTTTTCCTCAAGACCCACATTTGTATAAAACTTTTTACACGACTATGTCAAATCCCTACCTACTACCAACTTAGAATACGTGATACTTAGTATGCGTGGGTACAATACTTGGCAAGAACTTCTCGAGTTGTATGCACTTTCCGACTTCACCTTACTACTGCAGAGAAAAAATCACGGAACACTTGAAGTTGACAACGAATATAGGCAGGTATTTCTTATGCTCGGGCCACACTAACGTCAACGTCAATGCTGATTATCGCGATGCTTACTACGATAATTATTGTGATAATTTTAACGCGATAAATTGGGTGGCTACACTTGAAATTTCAACATGAATGCCCATCATGCATCATGCCAAACGGCAATGTGAATGCCGTTGTCAAATTATCGCGTTGACCCGTGGCTACACTTACGGTGAACGTGCATTATCTCGATAAGAAATGGTATTTCTCGTTGGTGTGGCCCGGGTCACATATTCATGTCCAATATTTAGGGTATATTTGTCTATTCACCACGAATACAGGGTGGATTTTTGTATGCTATCTGAAGGGGGAATCCTCTTAATACTTTAGATAGGAATTTTTACTCAAAGAAAATATTCCGATATTTTTGAAAAGTAAGAAAACGGCATTCGTAGATTTTGAAAAACTCGCTGGCCGCACACGGCATTCGAATCGACTTAAATCTGTAAAAGTGGCACCTGTACTTTAACTTTATATTGTTTTTTGTGTCGTGTGGAAGGAACTTTTCAGAAGTTGTATGTACGTTCTATCTTTTTTTTAATAGCTGCATACAGAGACAAGTTTTCTATTTCTTAAACCACGCTTATATTTTGGCAGTGCAGTTCATATGTTAAATGTGCTATCACCCACTTTCTTTGGATATGGCGTTTTATATAAGTCCATACAAAATATTCGGATTTTCGAAGTTCAAATTAATTTCCTTCGTGGTACCATACCTACAAATAACTATATAGCCACGAAGAAAATGAACAAAAAAAAGAGAAAATCACCCGGTACATTAATTATTTAAATTTTATTATCAACAGCAATATTGTTAATTAATTCTATCATTATATAAATCGTGGACATTCCGAATTAGCTTAACATTAAAATCAACATAATTAATTTATCAGTCCATTTCAATTTTTTTTTCACATTTAAGTATCAGAAAAGAGACAACCTTTTTATCATTGTTGTCATCGTTTATATACAGTGTGTTATAACATCCATTCTGATCCAAAAGGTACCTACCGATAATTAATAACAAAATACATTATTTACAAAAGTATTTCAAATATAGTCTTTGTCATAAAAAAACGAAGGCCTGATTCACAAATAGTGAGATCTTGTTAACTTAACTGACACATATTTTAACACATATATAGAAAATACATCATTTAAACTAAGAGAAACTTACTTAGCAGTTGTAAAATATAGGATGTAAAATATAAGTCTTAAAATAAAATACCATTCATATTCATGTTGAACATGATACTTAAAATTGTGGAATATAAAATATAAATTCATATAATTAATTTATAACAAACATTTACAGCAATTTTATTATAATATTTACAATTAACAAAATAGGATTATATCCTTGTAATAGTATCAACTTTCGATACGTAATGAACCCTTATGGATCGGACAGGATTTTATTAAACTATCAACACTCTATATATATACGGGAAAACCTGCATCTTTTTATTTGGTAGTGTTTAAAGATCTGTATTGCAATCAAGTTACGATATTATGATCATAAGCAGGACAGTCCAACCCGACTTCAATCTCCGTATATTTATAGAACGCTGGAAGAAAACTTCAATTCGATGTTTAACTAGAAATACATATTTAAATATTGTGATCGTCTTAGAAGAACTGTGAGCGCACAGAGGCAGCTCTGACTGGTGGTGTCAAAGAAGCTGCCGAAGATCTAGACGCAGGTTTTGGAGTACAAAAGGTACATGTTACACTCTTACTACCATTTGACACTGCTGTACTCTTAGATGTCTGACATCTGCATACATGTATTACACGACGATTCGCTGTCCCAGTTCCATTTGCACCCATCAGTTCTATAAACAAAAACACGTCATTTTAGTCATACAAATAGCTATAGTTATACATATATTGTGTTTCGCATAGTAGGTATGTGAATTAGAATAGATTCACTGACATTGTTATTGTGTACATTGTAAATATTAACGATGCTGTCATTCAGTAACCAGTTATACCTAACATAACATTTTAAGTGAAAAAAAAATTCCACTTAATAAAATTGTCAACATTGGACTAAATCCCATTTATTTAAGCTCAGAGCAAAGCGCACTTCGTGATTCGACATAAACCGCATTTCGCCCACGCTACACAGTGCTTCGCTCTTTGATCACGACGTATTATGTATATTATGTGACTTATACATAAAGATACACTGTAAAATGAAGCCAATAAACCACATTTTTTTTTAAAAAAGAACACTGTTAACATTAGAATCACATAAATTCCATATGTTCACAGTGTGTAATGTGTAATGTCCATATCACAATTTAGTAGATAAAAAAACAATTTGGAAATTACACAAGAAATTTACGTACAATATATATATAATTATGCAACTAATCGCAATAGTATAAAAACCCGCAATCAAAACGCAATCAAAAATGCATATTAAGAACTGTCAATTCTTTGGGAACTGTCGAGAATTCATTTTGTCGCGTTCCATAGGTAGTATAGGTACCGTTAAGAAGAGGTAAGACAAAAATAATTTTACGAAACTTATGCCTGAATACTGAAACGTTACTCAATTTTAAGTCGCGCTTAAGTATAGTTCTGTCACCACAGAAATGACAGAGATAGCACGATATTTAAGCACGACTTACACGACAATAAATAATAGTCTGTCAGTCCGTCAGTGAAGCTAGGTGAAGCTAGGTACTCATTCCAAAATTTAGATTCGAATGGAGAAGAACGAGATAGAAACTCCATTCGTTACTCTTTTTAAAAAAGTATGTTCTACAATGTCTTTGATACAAATTCCAATACTGTACGTATATGTGAGAACAATGCAAAGACACGCTTGACACATTAACTATACTAATTACAAAAATTACTCACAAAAAAAACAAAACAAAAAAATCTTATAGTCTAACATGGTCGCGGGCCTGCGGACGGCGAGCATGGGTGATTCCCGTCCGACTAGAAACAGTCCCGAGCGTACGGCGCGTCGCGTTCCGCGGGCGCCTCAAAGAGCAATCAGACCACCACGGATGGAGCCCAACAGGGCTGATGCAGATTCAGAGTCGCGGAGAATCTAACGGGTTACCGGGGCTCCGGCTCGACGTGCAGGAGATGGAACGGGGTGGTTTTTAGTCAGTAATAGTCTGACACTCCCTCCTGCCTCTCCCAGGTGGGAGCAGTCATTTGATGATGATTTTAAACTGTCAAACACCAAGCGGTCACCGGTGACCGCAACCTATTGTTCTATAATTGTGTCTATAATGACGGTACTCGACGAGTTAATTGTAAGAATCGATACATTCACCAGGACCATTGGCAATAAAGCACATGGATAAAGCAACAGAGGGCCGTACTTATTCATAATAGGTATAACAATACCAAGGCATAACTAAAGGCATAACATGAACCCTCATTTTCTTGTATTCAACGTATAATGTGTGTGTGCTCGACCGACACGTACCTAATTAGCACTTGATAATTTCACCACAAATCAGAAATGTATACATTTTATACCAGGAACAATACATAATGCATACACAAAACAATTCATTTATAATATTGTTATTTTACATACATCATTATCAGCTTAATTATGTGTAGCGTTAACTTTAATTATGATATTAATGAACCAAGTAAATTTCAATATTTAACTAAGAAATGATTTTTTTTTATTTCAACTTCATACAACAAGTGTGTACAGGTGGACTTAATGCCTTGGGCATTGTCTCCCAATCAACCTTTAAGCAGTGCAGAGATGAAAGTAGCAGGTGATTTAAACCTTTATAAATTATCAAGTTTATCTATTAAACCAAGAAAACTATTTTTATGGCACTTATATGGCAGTCGTATTTTACATATTTATGAACGCAATAAACTAAAAAAAGCGTACGGTTTTTCCTATACCGTGTAGACACTATGTAGTAAATACTAGACTAGAACAATATATAATAAAAATGAAAATTGTGATTGAAGTACTTATAAATCAAATTCAAACATTAAGTAAATATCAAACAACAATGCGGAATTATTCAGAAAATTTTGATTAATTAATTTTGGCGCCATCAAAGCTCTACTGAAGAGGAAAATGAGCCGAATACAAATAAAATTCAAAGAATTGTTAACAAGGATATCAATTTTCTTATTACACATTTTTGGGATTCTGTTTCATTATTTATTAGCAATTTTGAGGATCTATTCAACATTCCCGTGCGATATAATTAAGCAATTACTTATTGCTTATCATGAAATAAAAACTCTTTTTAGTATTATTCATAAAATATTATTAAATTCTCTATTCATAAAATATTATAGACTGCCTCGTTGGCCGAGTGGTCGCAAGTGCGACTGCCGGGGCAAGGGGTCTCGGGTTCGTTCGTCAGGCAAAATATTACTGGGTTTTAAAAAAATTCTCAGTAGTAGCACGGAGTCTGGAATTGTGCCCAGTATACAGCAATAAGCTCACCCCCTATTACATGAGTCCATAATATATATATTGAAAAGTGGGTGTTACATTGTACAGTAGCATAGTGTGCACCTCTGCCTACCCATTCGGGGATAAAAGGTGTGATGTTATGTTATGTTATGTTGTTATTATTAAATTCATAAACAAATAAAGCAAAATATATATACATTTCTGATACAAGAGTAAGTTTCATTTAAACTAGATAGGTATGTATTACTTCAGTTAATTTGTGAAAGATAGATAAAAATTTTGTCTGAAATATACTTTTCGCAATAAAAGCGATAAAAAGTAATTTTAACGTGTGTTACACAGTTTATATTCGAATGTTATTAATTAATTAAAGTATTTTTATTTTAACGGTTCGTTGTTAAAATTCTAGTTAACATGGTACTGTACAAGTATAGCCACGGCTTAGGAATGATACTTAAATAAAAATTAATGGATTGATATTAACGTTACAACCAATGTGATTCTTATAAAATTTTGAAGAAATTAGAGTCGTAAAACATTTGTATTTTTTCTGTAAATCCCTTAGACCTGATAAATAGGCGGATTTCGTCATTCTTTGCTCTTGGCATCCATTACAGTCTTCACTCGACGAAAGGAATTCATTTTAAGTATACGCAAAATGGCTTACATACATCTCCTGCCGTAATCCATTATATAAAGCATCGTTTACACTTTACGTATTGTCCGCCGCCGACTGTGAGTATGCGTACTGTCTGCCCAGAGTGAAAGTGGACTCAATCTGCAGTACGCGTTCTAATCAAGCCGACAATACGCTGTAGCGTTAAAGTGCTACATATATGATCAAAAGAATAAGCAATCTAATATGCTGTTACATTCGGCAACATAGTCAATCCGCGTCCGCCGTGCATAGACGGCACGCGTAGTACAATAATCGACCGCCGAGAATTAGCGTCAACTTACTACCTAATAATCGATATGAATGAGATGTACAGTGAAACCTGGTTAAGTGAGACATCAAGGGACCTGCAATGTCGTTTCACTTTTAGAGGTATTCCACTTACCCAGTGTCTCAGATATACAGGTATAAATAAATATCTGTCTCATTTACAGAGGGTTCCATAAATTGAGGTGGACTTGAAATTACATGTGGAATTTGTGGGTAGAATAAGAATGAGTAAACAAACAATGTTATCTCAGTTACAGAGGCATATAAAATTTACTCGCTGTCTCGGTTATAGAGGTAACTATGATGATAAATCGAAAGAACAAATCCCAGATATAGAGGTTTACCTCGTCCCACTAACAGAGGTAATTCAGTGCCAAAGTGTTGGGACCTTAGCATGAGTTCCAGTTATGGAGGTTTTTCACTTATCCAGGTCCCACTTAACCAAGTTTCACTGTATATGGATAATTGATAAACTACGTAACGCGCGCTCACAGTCAGCGGCCGACAATACGTTTGATACGAACGATGCAAGGCTTAATCACAAAGAACTTAACAATAGCCTCACACGTTTCAATTCTCGACAGGATAGGTAAATAGTACACCAACACTTTACATGATAATTGATATTAAATGTAACATATACTTTTCACCAGGAATTTTTTATGAGGTTTCATGTAGGAATTGTTGGCAAACTTATATTACCATACATTACCATAGTCAGGCATAATTTTAGACTGCCAACTTCTTCTGAGAATTTCAAAATAGAACAAAGCCTGTTCTTCTTCGCCCGACTCAAGAATCAAACTCCAGATTCCTAACTTTTGTAGGACATACTAAATCAATTATTATGTTTTCATCTTACTCACGTAACTGTTTAGTAGCTGAGCCACAGTCGCCGCGTCGCGGGTCGCGGAAGGCTGCTCGTGAATATGAGCCTCTAGCATGACTTGAAACTAGTCGAGTTCCTCGCCAAACAGTTACGTGAGTAATTTAATTCATTACATTATAACACCGCATTATCAATTTTTAATTTATTATATTGTCAATTTAGTCAATGTCAGTTTAGGTTAAAAATATCATCACATCTAACAAGTAAAAAGAAGAAATGAAAAACAACATTATTTTTAACAATAGAATTAACTAAAATATTTGCCTCCCTTTGGGAAACCGGTCACCCAGAGCCTCATAAGGGTGCTATCCAGTTTTTGCCTGAGCACGCTCAAGATGGTGTTGGCGCTCCCACGCGTACGGAACGTCAGCGAGGCGATGCGCACCGTAGCACCACTACGAAATGTTTGAAGAGCACACAAACTATCATATAAAAGACCGACTTGTCAACAAGTACATAATAAGTTCCAAGTAATTCAGGGCAACTTTCTTTCCTACTACTAAGAATTTTTTGAACATGGAACTTAAGTAACGAGACAGCCAATGAGTCTCATTAGAATAAAAATTATAAACTACCCATTATCGAAGTCATCGTTATCCTCAAAACCAATTTAACTTCAAAATACCTCAGGGACAGAGGCGACTGGAATAAATATTTTACGAGGCCTTTGACATAATATTGTAGGCCCACGACCCTTCAAATTGTTATAGTTTACTTCGTGATATTGATCTTTTAATTATAGGTCAAAGGGATTGTATTGTGCTTACTGCGTAGTTAACAACAATGCTTTTCAACTTCTCTAGTTAGTATTAGATTATCTTAAGATCCCATTTAATATAATGTTTGAACTGTTTGAACTGAAATGAAAAATACAACGTTTGAACCGATTTTGGTATGGCTACTTATCGGCTATACCACCAACCTGTTACTAACCACTGCTGGATACAGGTCACACCAAATGTATACCATTGACTGGATCTTAATTTTTAGTTCATAGCATCTAAGAACTACCCCTTAATTATATGGGTGTACAGACAACGGTATGGAAATTAGATTTTAGTGTACAGACGCTAAAATCTAATTTTCATCAAATTAATCTGTTTACTAAGCGTTACCCCCAAAATGGTTACAAAAGCACGTAGTATTGTTTAATGTCAGCAGTGATCAGCAGGTATAATAGATGAATTCAACTAATACAATTTCAAGCCATTTGATAGACAACACGGAGCGTACCGTATTGTGGCTATTATTATTTCACATAATGTAACACCTTTTAATAATATAGGCAAATTTAGTTCAACTTGTGTCGTTGTGACCTGGGGGTTAAGACGCCCACTTCGCATGCATGAGAGGTTCGGACCCTAACAATGGCAAGTACTAATGTCACTTTTTCCAAGTTAAATGTACTTTCTAAGATTATCTAGACAGCACTGATCAACGGTGAAGAAAAACATCCTTTAGAAACCTAGGCTTTTAATTCCTAATTATAAGTTTAAAATTGCCAATCAATAAGAATGGTGATTAATTCTCAAACCTTCTGTGTGAGAAGAGGCTTTGCTCAGCAGTGGGCATTTAAAGGCTGTCGATGATGATGTTGATGATGTTCATATTAAGTTGTTGCTATTCTGATTTTTTTTATTATGAATTATAGGGCAGGTATATTATCTTTCTTAAGTGTAAATGATCATCAGATCAGTCATAGGACGTTGACTGATGAACACGGACTACCAACTGGAATCTAAATAGATACTCGTTTTTTTATTCACATTTTATTAATACATTTTGTGACTGATACTACAATTATAACTAATAACAAAGACCCTTAGGCTACCAGACAGAAAGATCAAGATAAAGCTTTAAACTGTACAGTTTAATCGGACCGCTCCGTAGGGAAATATTCAAAGTAATTGCACACAAATTTGAAACTAAATTAATGGAAGTTAAACTATAAATCAATCTACAAACGCCAGCAGGTCATCATACTCCATTCTGTCTAACTTTATTATAATTTAAACTTTATTGTATTGATATAGAAGCGAAATTCCAGTGAAAAAATTACAGTTTGAGGTACATTCATCTGCTGGCGACTGTACCGTACAATTTGTTCAACAATAATATTTCTGAAAAACATTTCGATTGAATTCCCAGAAGTCACAACAGGCTACAGCCTTTATAGAATAGTGTTGGATTACAATAAAATTCTTGTTTGAAATAAATCGTGTAAAGTTTTTAAAAATATCATATTGTCACATTTATAAGTAGAAATTGAATACCTTTATTCTGTTACATACTTTTTTCTCCTATTATTATGAGCTACTGAAATCGATACATTTCAATAACAGATGGGGTTACGATTTGATCAAAGATTTGCATAAAAAATGCTGACAAGATCTATATCAAAAATATAAAAGATAAAGAACTCTGTTGTCTTATTTTTAGAAAACATTTTGGCGCGATCACATTTCACGGAAGACGAAAGCAAGCAATTTTATCAAGTGGATATCGTGTAAATATTAGGTTCTCTTACCTGACATAGGTATGCCCTCACAAACACTTGACCTTTGACACGGCCTGGTCGAGTCCTTTTTCTTCAAACATAGCAACGCACTGAATATCTGTTAAAAGAACATTCTTATTAAATTAAATCATAAATACAGCAACATTTCGTTATAGACTTAAACTACTGAACAATTAAGTTTCAATTACCCTGCCTATGTATGAAATGTTTAGTATAATTTATCATGTTCACAGCAGGTCGTTTTTTCACCAACAAAATGTACTTAACTAACCTTGGAACACTTGCGTAATGAGTAAAAATACCGTCTCCCATAACAGACGAGACATTTGAATTTCAAATATAATTGGTATGAAAGACCTTGTTATTTCCTATGAAATTCAAAATAAAAACATCCTTCGTATTCGAATTAAGTGATGTAACCAACTTGAGTGGATTAGAGAAATGTCCATTACTGCATCACATCATCAACATCCCATAATGCCAATTGCTGAGCAAAGCCTCTTCTCACACGGAGAAGGTTTGAGTTTTAATTGCCACGCTTGCTCAAAGCGGGTTGGCGATTTCAAACTTATAATTAGGAATTATAAGTCCAGGTTTCTTAACGATTTTTTTCATCACCGTTTATCAGTGGTGTCCAAATAATCTTAGAAAGTACATATAACTCGAAAAAGTCATATTGGTACTTGCCGTTGGTAGGCTTCGAACCCGCACCCTCATGCATGAGAAGCGGGGGGTCTTAAACGTTCAGGCCACCACGACACGTCGACACGCACATCGTGTTATTCTCATAACATAGTAACTACCAACCAAATTACTAGATTGAATTAAGAAATACTTTACTAAAAACAATTGTTACAGGTCTTCATTATAGTAATAGGATTTATTTAAATAGAACTTACGTTTAAGTAAGCGCATAATACCTAAATTAATTAATTTCATTAATAATATGGCTTACTCATTTCAATCATTGGAGAAAAACTTTCGTCATCGTATTATAATTAATTTTGTATCACGAAAGAACTCTCAAATTGTTAACAATATATTATTATACCTCTTGGAATCCTTGGCGGTACCGAATGTTCATGTAGCAGTAGATCATAGGGTTGTAGCAGGAATGTGACATCGCCAGCCAATGACATGCGAACCACACGTACGGCATCCCCGGCCACGAAGCCCACTCGTCATCGTTCTCGTGCACCGTCCATAAAACCTAATATCAAAAGTTCATTAATATACAAAAATAAATTAGAATTTTTACATCTTCGTGAACAGTTTTAACCAAAGAGTAAAATGTGAGCAAAATTATTCGACTGGTTGGACTGTGCCTTCAGAAAGGATAAAATCCTTTAATTTTATACGTAATCTAGTTTAAATAAGTTTATAATGATATAGGTACCTAATAAAGGTATCAATCAACCTAGATGTACTATATTATTAATAACGTATTATTTTAAGTAATCATTTTTAAGTGACTACGCTCATCGACTACGAAAATTCGGTGCTACGAATGTTCCGTAGCTGTTGTAACGTGCTACGCGTTTCGTAGCAATCACTGTTAAGGCCTGTTTCATAGTCTTTAAGCTAAACTGAATCACATTTTGAATGTAAAATTACGAATAGGTCTTTACGATATAAAAACCTGTAATAAGATTTTTATTTATTACCTAACGTAAGTCTACTAAAATTGATACAATAGTCCTCCTTAATAAATATTAACTTTTGAAAATCTTACTTAGAAAAGAAAGAGTTGCTCGTTAAGCGTCGAGACCTGGCATAGTAACGAGACAATTATATTTGTCTCGAGTTATAACAAGACTGTATTTAAATATAATATGATAAGACTGAATATTACGTACTCAAATTGGAGCAGGAACAGAATAATACGAGCATATTTTACCAAAAAATCATACTTTGCTCAAATTAACCATAATTATAACAAATTTGTGGATTTGCAAACATAATATAATTATGACCGAAACTCACAGTTCAGTGCATTAATTAAATCGAAACGTAATTAGTAAAGTCATTAAAACCAATATTGTAAGTTTCGTAGTGAGCAAAGCGAATTATTGGTTTGACATACAAATATCTATGCTGATATACTGGTCTATTCAACTGGTCTATTCAAAGAGATGAAACCACATTGTTGTATGCAACAATTGTCCCAATCTACGCAGGGAACAAATATTTGCTGCCATACCACGCATAAATTGGACATAGACTTATATCGTTGGATGGGCCGAAAGCAATTTACGTAATATTAAACCTATAATACTTTACATTAACTTATCAACAAAGAAGTCGCCTTTAGCTTTCTAACATTCTCCAGATAAAAAATGTCATACCATAAAACGTACCATTGCGATGTCAAAGAAAATAAAACAAACAATATATTTTCACATTTATATTATTAGTATGTATGCGACTCTACTAGAAGCATATCTCTAGCTAGCCTATTCGCATAACGGAATTCGAATCTTATCGAAGAATCCGACAGGCCATTAAATTTCATGCGATATAAATTCTGTGGTTTCATGTCAATTTGACGTGACGTGGTACGGAAATAAATCCGAGCGAATTTTATTTCGCTGTGCGGATAAAACCTAACATAAGTGTGAAGATATACTAGGTATTATTATGGTACAACGATCACACTGAATCGTTGGGATGTTCCGGGTCTGAGAGTGATGTGTTATTTCCGTTCATAAACGTACCAATGAAAGAGGCCCACAATGCAAAATGAGACAGCATATGTATTTTTTTTTTAATTTACACGTCAATCCTTAAAAATAGAAAGATAAATAAAAATATATATTTCTTGTGAACAGGTACAGGGTGTAAACGAAACGACCCCGAATATGCAGAGAAAAGAATTGCGAGGTAGTCACACTATAGAGACCAGTCGACCAGCAACGACGCAGTCAGCTTTCAAATTTGCTCTAAAAGGATTAACCGCCACACTTACGAGTCATTTGACGGTTGCTTAACCTAATCCTTAGCCATTGTTTTTGGAAAAAAATCGTTACTACGGGATAGCTTAAGTAATCATGAAATGTGTCTGAGTAGGTACGATAGATACTAGCATTGCCAGCCAACCAAGTTAAGATAAAGTTTAGAACATAACTAACGCTCGTTTCATCTCGAAATCTATCTAGTATTTTTTTTTAATATAAACGTTGCCCCACACTAGGATTTTCTCCTGTGTCGTGGGTGCGTTTACAAACATGCAGGTAAGTAATACAAGTTCACATACACATGACACCCAGACCCGGAACAACAATCTGTGGATCACACAAAGAGTTGTTCCGTGCGGGAATCGAACCCGCGACACATTGCGCAGCAGCTGGGCAACCGCAGTTAACTAAAAAATGCGGGATACACACGTGAATATTCTGAGAAAAGCTCTATTAGTTTCGAGCCACAGAGGGGTTCTTCCTCATGAAAAACGTGCGCGGTCGCAGTGATGTCAAGCAGCTTACTCACTGCTACTCACTTTGTGGATCGAGACTAGTAGAGCTTTTCTCTGTAGAGATTTAATTATTGTAGTATGATGTCTCACGACAGTTATTATAAAAACATATATTTAATAAGTTCCACCGTTTATGTTGTGTTAATCCTGTTAGAGAGGCACTTTCATAAAATAACAAACTGCGTAAACAATACCTCATTGAAAAAGGTTTTATCTCTTTAAATGCTGAATTGTTTGAAGATGTAAAGTAGGTGTAGTACTTCTAGATGTACAAGCTTTGTTATTTTTTTAAGTTACCGTGTAACTAGCTAGTATGTTAGTCTTAATATCACTCTGTATAATGTCTAAGGGCCGATGTTTTTTCCAACGCCTTACAAATTTTAACTTAGGAATAACTTTAAATATTTGACTATTCTTCCATACATTCCATACATTCCATACAGTTATGAATACACTGAAGATTGAAAAATCGGCCCTAAAGGTGATATTAGACGGTTCATTCGAATGAATATTCGTTCGTTATTCATTGTTCATTCATTGTTTTTTAGAAAATGTCATCGAGTGATGATTTCAGAATTACCATTTATTGTAAGTCCAGGCTTCATCACATTTTCCTTCGTTGTAATGTTAGTATCTCGATGTTTTTTTTAAAAACTCCATTAATTAATTTATAAATTGCATGAAACGTGTATGGCCTCGGAGGAATGAAAATGAACGAATGATGGAATGTTAAAAATGTAATAATCAAGATTTCAAATGTGTGTTACGTTTGTTGCGTTTAATTAGCTTGAAATTAGTTTATGAATTGTTATTTATTTAATGTTTGGTTATTCACGATGTAAAAACATTATGATTGAAATAATTTAACACCCACACTAGGAATTGTAAAAAAAAAATACTCGCCAGACTATAAATACTGTCACACATTTTATTCTGGACCTTGTTGTAAATTCAATATATTTTCTATTGTATCTCATATCGGTGCATTCAAAAAGTTAATGACGTTACAATTTTCAGTAATGCTACCCGCGACCTCCTGCGACATATATAATACTAACAAAAATGGTTACATTTCAAAGTTTTCTCTACCACTACACGTTTCTAGATAAGACCACATGACATTCCTTTTTTTCTGCTAAAATTAATAATTTCTTGTTCAACTGCAGAGAGAGCTCGCCTTTTGGCTGTGGGTGAGTGGGAGTCGGGGTTATGGCTTCTTGCTTTACCTTCGTCTAACCTAGGTACTTTGTTGGACGACACCACGTTCCGCGCTGCAATTTGTTTAAGGCTTGGAGCTTCATTTTGTTCACCTCATCGTTGTCGTTGTGGTGAAGATGTCAACAGCCTTGGACACCACGGCTTGTCATGTAGCCGTAGTGCGGGCCGTTTTGCTCGACACGCAAGTATTAATGACATAATTCGTCGAGCTCTTGCCTCCGTTGGCGTGCCAGCTACTTTAGAACCTAATGGCTTGGTACGCGACGATGGCAAGAGACCCGATGGTATGTCATTATTCCCTTGGAAGATGGGAAGGGCTTTAGTATGGGACGCCACTTGCGTTGATACTCTGGCGCCATCCCATCTTCCAATCTCAGCGTGTCGAGCCGGTGCTGCCGCTGCTGCTGCCGAGAACCTCAAACGGCGAAAGTATAATAGCCTGATTGGCAATTATGCTTTCGAACCGTTTGGGGTTGAAACTTTAGGGCCGTGGGGCCCAAGTGCACATCTTCTTTACAAAGATATTGTAAGGAGGATGGTTGACACTTCAGGTGATCGAAGGGCTGGCTACTACCTTGGGCAAAGGTTAAGCATTGCCATTCAACGTGGCAATGCTGCCAGTCTTTTGGGCACCCTACCTCACGGTAGCGATGAGGAAAATGTTTTCTTTGATGCCTTATGATTTATTTTTATTATTATTATTTTATTAAGGTGTAAATATTTTAGTTTTAAATTTTTTTTTAAATAGTTTAAATTGTATATATTAATTTTTATCTTGTATTTTATATATTTAATTGTGTAATATTTCAATCATATCCAATTTCAAAATTAATAATTCGTAATTTGAACCTTCTGAACTTTATAAATGAATCGTATATCGTTTGTATAATTAGAACTTTAGTAAACAAAGGGTTTACGATATTAATTTGTATTAGAAATACGTGTATTATGAAAATGTTGAACATCGGCACGTGTATTGATTTGGTACTAACAGGTTCCTCCGCCTACTTGAAATAATTTATACTCTTATGTCGATAAATAAAAACGTTACTCCTGAATATCTATCAATATAGAAAGACCTTGAATTTGATATAACATGTATGTAGGCAAATGTATGTATCATCTACTTAGATCTAACACAAATATGTACCAAGTAAAGTATAAAAGAATTTCCTCACAATATTTTGTACGTGAAAAAGATACACAAAAGTGTCGCCTCATGTCTTAAGTCTACTATTGTATTCTGTCAATTTATCCAAAATAATTTTGTATTCCAATACCTTTATGAATTAATCTGTTTTAACGTGTTACCAAATCATGTGGACTAAAATTTTAAACGAAAGTCATTTCAATAGTACTCCAAAAGCCTATGACATTGTTACTGCAAAATTATTAAATATTTTTACTTACTATGAAAATGTTGAGGGGCAACCAGCTCATTATAAATACTGTAACGACTGTCAACATCATTTTCACCATCTGCAAACAAAAGAATATTAATATAGTGCGTTGTTTTTCGTCTTGTGAGTGAGGTTACCGGAGGCCCAATTATGCATCCCTTATCTCAATGCCTGAATCCCCAACAATCCTCAAATTCCTAATTCTCTGGTGTCACGGGTGTCCATGGGTGGCGATATTTACTTACCAGTTAGGAATAACTTTAAATACCACCAGGTAATCTGTCTGTTCGTTTACTGGCTTACCCATACGAAAAGTACAATCATGATAATAAAATGGGATGGCTGGAAGTGTACTCGTTAGATGAACCACTTTCACGATTTCATTGACTATGTTATAAGTTCAACACAAAACATAAATTATTAAAAAAATAATTATAAAAAAATACTCCTACACGCTAAGCGTTTACACCCACATAAACAATTAGAAAAAACTTTATATCACTTTTGTTGTTATGCATTATACATACCTATGTATACGCATAAACACGGTGCATATTCATTATTCATGTTCTCAAAAATGGAGAGTAACTTAACAACAATAGTAATATGCCTTAGAAGTAAGCAATTACTTAATAGACTAATATAAAAGCTATACTTGGCTTTTATGATAACATAACAAAAAATAATAAGTGCTTTTGCATATAGTATATACGACCTATTTTCGTTTAACGTTCAGCGTCTTGAAAATGTTACATAAAGATTTAAATATAGAAAAAATATGCCTAACAGCTAAATCGAGAGCTTGATTCCAAATCTCGTAATTTCTGTTTTGATGACTCAGCAACTACATGATCCCATATTAAAATATCATCACGATTTATGAAAACGGCTACTTCGTTAATTATCAGATAAGTTTATTTTCTGGTTAGATTTTCAGGACATACAAATTAGTATTGAAGTTATGGATTTTTTAACTAACTAATTTTTAAAATTACGAAAATGGTTCTCAGTTTCACCTGTAGGTATGTATGCCTGTCCCCGACTACCTTACGATTGGCGGAACCGATTATGAAAGTACACTCGGGTCTGGTTCTGATCAGGCGCGAGGTATCCTTGCTCGCCCGCCCGCAGGCCCGTGCTTACGGTGGTTGGAGTTCATTTCGCCATCCCCTAAGTCGTAAGTATTTCCCGCGACGGTTGTGGCGTGAGGAGGTTCGTTGCCTCACGCGCCCTGCTTCTTCCTTCTTAGCTTGAATGACCTTCTTGCAGAAGGAAGAAACGGTATCATAGTCCCCCTTTTACGGTAGGAACGCCGTAGCATCCCTCAAGCCACTCCTCAAAGTTGTATTTATTACATTTTGAGGTTAGGTTTTAGCATTAACAACTTTAAAGTTAAAAAAAAAACAGCAGTCCACCCTAGGATTTTCTACTATATCGTCCAGTTGCCCAGCCGCTGTGCCTACCGTGCAGTCTTCAAACGTAGTTTATTGAGTGTTCCAATAAGCTACGACTCAAGTATTCTTACTCAAACTTAAGTTGTATTTAAGTGGCTACAATAATGTACTACATGTATCTAAATACGCAGACCCTTCATCTATATCAAAGTCAAAAATTCTGTTTACCCAAAAAAGACACTTTAGAAAGTTCACTTCATGAAATATGTGCCATAATGACATTCTGTTGTGTTGTTATGTTTATTTTACATGAAAAGGTCCGTTGGTGTGAACTGAAGAGCAAAGGTCGCAGTCACAAAGTAATTTGCGGTTACCAACTCGGTTTTGGAGTTTCTCTTGTTTTAAACGAGCGCTCGTTTGCTATCATATGCAGGATATACGTGAGGGCATGACATTAAATCACGTTCTGAATGTAGGAACAGGATTGTGTTCGTGTGTGCTTGTTTGTATTAAACTGGATATGACGGGCTTGCATGACCGATCCCTGGGCTTGTTAAGCGGAAAAGTCATGAAATGACTTCTCCCGCCTCGCCTTACTGACTAAACACCACCTTGTTCCTACTCCTGCTTCGGATCCCCGGCAATTCGTTAAGTTTTCCGCTGCTCCGGACTATTGAGGGCTACGTTTTTTGTTGTTTGTCCAATATAAAATTAGGTACTTTGTGTTAAACCATTGAACATTTAATTTTTGACCTACAATCATTGGACTATTTGACTTCATTAGTGGCATTTAGTGAGCAACAAAACAATAGCCCTCATTACATACTCTTGTGATGGAAACTAAATCCTCGGGATTATAAGTGTGTAAACACCAACACGTTTAAGATTAAAATGAAACGCCTACTAGCTGAAAAGTGTTACTACTGTTTGAATAACTTTCTGACCGACACTACTTTTTGACATTGTATTCATGTATATCGTTAACTATGTATATATTGTCTTAATGCAAATATTTACTAACTAGCTGTGTCCGCGACTTCGTTCGCGTGGAATTGTGATTTACTGCGCTAACCCCGTAGGCGATAGCGTGATAATATGTAGCCTACCTGTTAGTAATAATCATACAAAATTTGAACTAAATCCATGCAGTACTATTTGAGAGCATCTCGGACTGGACTGGACAGACCGAACAGACAAACAGACGAAAATTCTATCAACTTATTTTTGTCTTTAGTATCGACTATAGATCACGCCACAGTTGTACACAATGTACAGTTTTGACTTTTCTACGATTTTATTAAGTAGGTATATGTATAGAATAGGTAATAAATTTTAACATTTTTAAATATGAATTATAATCATTATAAAATTGAACTTGTACGTGCCTAAGGGCAAAACATGTATTGGACACTAATTTAAAAAAATGAACATCTATTGTATGCATTTGTATGAATGACACATGTTTATGCAAAATTATCTTTATCGTTAAAGAAGTATAATAATGAAGATCGTATCCGCTTTAGTTTCTACCTATTCCTTAAGACAAAGGCTTGATTTCATGTATGGATGTAAACTAATATTAACCGCGGACAGAATAGTAATATGAAAATAGTCTAGGTCGAGACTTTGAGAGATTGTTCCCTTTTTAGATATTACCGAACTCAAATCTTTGTAAACACAATCTCTTTTGATCAGTAGTTGATTATTAAAATTATTGCGTTGTCACGAGTCTTATAAATATTTACATTAAACAGGATTGGATACAAGCAAGGGGTACTGGGTATGGGGGTATTGGGTAGATTTGCTATTAACTCACTTAACACTTTATATTTAATTCAGCACCGGCTGTAGGCAAACAACGACAATGATTGTGGTTTTCTTTATATTTGACTTCGAAAATAATGCTTAGAGGGAAATTACGGAAACCTCTGTTAAGTTATTTCGATGTATTATACGAATACTCCCTAAATCCCAATATTTTCCTAAGCCAATTCCTAGATTAGTAGATTCCCTAAAGTTATTAGTAATTACCATTTTTATGTGATCAGTTGTTTATCGGCAAAACAACGTCAACGCTCTTAATCTGTTTTTGCTGTACCTGGAAATCAATTTTCGGGAAGAAATCTTACATTTACCTGATGTTCTTTTACGAATTAATAGCTCATAGGTCTCAAGAAAATGTAAGCATCGATTAAAACAATTTATGGCAACTGGTTGCTCCTGCTTGTCTCTTTTCTGTCAGGTTAGTCTAACGATAACATATAATGCATAGAAATGCTGTGGACAGAAGACACGTACGTACCTTTCGTTTGGAATGTTGTATTCGTGAGTCTCTGGCGTCTTGCGCTTCTCCAGGCGGTCGACCGCCCCATACAGTGTGCGCAATCCGTGTATATGTGCACACTAGCGCACTCAGTGGCAGGACGAACTGCAGCACCAACAATGCGTACGTGTACTGACGACTCTGCTCAGTGCTCGACCATACCTCTCCACAAATGTCACTTTACAACATACCATAAAAAATTAGTTAAACATTGCATTTTATATACGAGATAATATTTCTAAAAATTATAAATAATTTTCAACTCATCATTTTTTAATTACTTAGATAGGTACATACGAATAAAATTCTATATATAAAAAATATTCATACACTTCACATGTCTGATGCCAAAGCGATGGCCTCTGAAGCTTAGAGACGATCGGTATGGGAGCCGCAGTGACCAGCGCCCCACTCCACACAGCAAACACAACCAGCTTAGCGGCCGTCTTGCTAAGCCGTGGCTTCAACGGGTGCATTATAATTATGTACCGATCGATGGAGATCGCCAGCATTGTGTAAGCACTTACAAGCACGGAAACTGCTTGCGAAAAGTTAACCGCTTTACACATAAACGCTCCGAAAGGCCAATATCGAAGCAACAAAGTCGGTACAAACGAAAATGGCACACAGAACAGTGTCATTAGTATATCACCCACAGCCAGATTCACTATAAAGTAGTTCGTCACAGTCTTCATGCGTGCTGTGGTTTGCACTACCGTACACACTAAGCCATTGCCCACAAGTGCAGTAACAAACACGGTAATGTACATCACATATACAGATACTTTAAAAATGCTGGTTGAGAGGTCGTCCTCGTCATGGAAAACACATATAAAATCGTCCACATCGGTAAAGTTGTATCGATAGTACGAGTCATTGTGGCAGTTAGTGCAAGAATGGTTGTATCCCAATCCATTTTCACTGTCGTAGAACATTTTCTACAGTTCACATGCTCATTAGAGTGGCTTCATGATTATCTGAAACAAAAATTTGGGCTTTAAATCCCGGTATACTTAATAAAATTATCTTAAATTAATTCTACATACTTAATATATATTGCCATCTATACTATTAATATCTGTTTAGGTGTATTATGTAGGTACATCTGATACATGGTAAATAAAAATAAATCCATAATAAAAATCTAAAGGCGCTATAGTTATGACTATTATTCGTCGAAAAATTTTAATAATTTTTCAGTATTTCATTTGTGAAATACAATTCTCTCGGTTTTATACATTGTATATTTTATTCTATCCACATTTCTGTGAACAATAGTGGTGGTTTTGAAAATTATAGTTCTATATTAACTATTGAAACACACAACACAACATAACATCACGAACACTTTTATCCCCGAATAGGTATAGACAGAGATGCACTGCAGAGGTGCAATGTAACACCCACTTTTCACTATTTATTTTATGAGTCCCATATAATAGCGGATGAGCCTAAGTAATTCGATACTATTTATTTTATTAAGTCCTTAATCAAATTGATTCTAACGCGAGCGAATTCATTTTAAATTATTTAAGACGATCAATGTTGACAACGTTTCTATGAAACCAAAACCTGAAGAGTAGCAAAAGAAGTATATTAAGAAGTGACCTTTTTTCACTATTGAGTTAGCTGACGATAACAATATTTTAAACTTCCGAAATATTTAATAATCGCCAGAAAGTTCGCATTTATAATATTTTTTTTTTATAAACACTGGTGTACGTACACTTATTACAAATTAAGAGAAGTACAGTTTTTTGTTTTGTTTGTTTGATGGGCCGACATTCGCTCGACTATGGAGCACGTCGCCCCATAAGCAACCTATTCACTCGGGCCTTGAAGACACCCAGGTATACCCTTCAAGAAATACAGAGTCTGGCAAAGAATTTCTACTCCTTAGCAGTACCCACAAGGAAGCTTGATGCGAAGCGGTTCGTGCGAACTTATTTTGCCAAAACACTGAACATTTAAATTACCTTTCGATATATTGTGGTTCTTATAATGACAATTTACAAATGCAACCTCGAGTTCAATAAAAACTATTAAAATGAATGATTGAATCGATTCCATTATAAATAGTCAATTTAGATTAAGTATAACTTGAATCCTTACACAGCTGGTGCACCCTATTAAAACTTGTTTTATATTATGAATGACTAACTATTATGAATCACCTACTAGATAAATTACATTAGAAACGTTCATTGACTTACTTTCAAATCAAATGGTATACAGATTTAGATTTATTTTGTTATTTTAACACAACAAAAAATGTACACAACCCTACACAGATTTACTAGGTACCTATATATGTAATTCATTTCATATTGTTTTTTTATTCAATTCACACAATTATTTGGAATACAGACGATAATATAAACTGACAATCAATGTAATACGTGACCTAAAGCTAGCACAAGCAATGAATGTACCAAGTAGGTACTTTGTTTTTAGTCAAATAAACATAAGGAATATATTGCTCAAATTACGCACTTAACTGTTAGTACACGATTATGGGCCCCTGCTGTGGCTTGAAATCATCGAGAAACCTCGTCAAAAAATTAACGTGAACACATACACAAGCACTGATTTAATATCTCAACCAACTTGCACTGATCGTGGTTTCTTGCAGACTCTGAGATCACAATTTAAGAAATCATGTTATTCTCCCTATACTTGGAAACCTGTTTAGTTATTAAATTGTTTGGCCAAAATGTCTGAGGTCGGGTTTTGTAACACTAATAGCAATCTGAATAAGATTCGAAAGTAATAACTTTCGAATCGAATCGAATCAATGCACCCATGTTAGAAATATCTAACATGGGTGCATTGAACTGATGGTTACCTAACCTACATTCAAAGTTATTGATATTTTATTTGCTGTGGAATGCGATGCCGACGGATATCAGGACGGCGACCAGTCGTCTGTCCTTCAAATTTAAGGTTCGTGAGTATCTACAGAAGAGGCTAGCAGACTCAACACACACTTAGGTCTTGTACGTATTTACATATATGTATGTGTATAATTATGTATGTATATATGTTATGTTATGTATTTTCCTTCGTATATTTAGGTATATATATGTCCCATACTTATTTGTCTACTGTTCGTTTTGCATTACGTATATATTTTAATACTTCTTCATTATATTTAATTAGTATATATTGTGTGATATGTATAATTATATATGATGTTAATGTTAATGTTAATTATTGTGTCACTCTAATAAGTGTTAAACGTTTACACCTACTATTGTATCTCTCTGCACCACCCTAAGGTTGACTGTTAGAGAATGCCACTAGGCATTAAGTCCGCCGTTGTATATCTACAAAAAGTGTAAATAAATAAATAAATAAAAAAAAAAAATATTTTTGTTTTGTTTCATAGACAAACTGCTTCATTGGTAATAAGGATACAAGTATAAAGTAAGACGTCTAGAGTTTGAACATCGAGTAATCTATTATTGGAAACTAAATAATTATGATCTTGTTGTAGAATACGGACATAGGTTGAAATTCTATCCATGCCATGAAACCGCGATAAGATCCTCTCTATCAATTCATAAACTATTTGAAAGAATTACTAACTGTAATTTTTATCTAGAACTAATATTTCCATTACTTTGGACATTTACTGAAGCTTGAACGGACAGTGAAATCTAACTTATAGTCTGTGAATTGAACTGTTGAATAAAGCCTAACTGGGTATTGAAAAATCAAAAATTTTGAATAAGAAACTAATAAAAATGTTGAATAAGTACTAATGGTTGAACTGAGTATTGAAAAAAATTAATTAATAATCTTTTCTTTTTGAAGTAATACAAAATTATGTTTCGTTGAAGTCACTCGGTCTTTTCTATTTCAAACTTTAAGGTATGTCTTACTTGACATTCACATATCACGTCAATTCAATAATGATTACAGGTGTACCTTTTACTGATTCAAGGTTCATTGGACATTCTAAGAAATTTGTTAGGTACGTGTAATCTGAATTTCAAATCAGTGTGATCCATTTGATCGAAGGCTACTTTATTTAAGCCAATTTGAAGTATTAAATTGGATTATTTCATTCCTCTCATTTTCATGCTCAGGTAGAAATAGAATACCTAACCTATTATATTTGGAAAATATATAATTATGTACACTAGACCTATTACATGAGTAGACTTGTATACTCTATTAAATTTTTTATTAATATTTACTCTATTACATGAATCTATGAACCTTTTTTCAAATGCCTACGGTAAAGATAAGAGAGAGATCAGCAAGAAACGCGAATTGCCATTTATGTATAAAAATAATTATGGGTATTGGGTATGTTAGTACTGTACAGCTATGTAGGTAACGAGAGTTCAGATTAATTTTTACACAGAAAAAGCATGAATGGATTTTGTTGCGTAGATATTATCTGGATGCAAAAAATAACAAGCAAATCTAGTTCTAATGCTTCAATTCGAAGATACCTTAGTTACCTAATCTTCTAATGAAATAACTAACAATAGAACTACTGTCATCTAATTGAAATATTAAACAATAAGGGCTATTGTTAGGCGAAACCTTTAAGGACACAAAATGTATAAGCTGGTTGCGTGACCAATGGACACCAGGTGAAAAACTCTCTATAGTGATCAATTTTATTGGTTTAGCGGCAACTGGTTGAGCTTTCTCCTAACAAGGACTAACGACTACGAAAGTATAACATTATGGTTATAGTAGTTACACTCATACACTGGTGATACAACGCTTAGTCGTCAAACAATGACTTTTGAATCAAGTATAACATCGTCCTAGTTCCGTCCAACTAATAAGAGAACACTAACTGAAATCTGATTAAAACTTCAGTCCTTGTGTCTAACGAGGAAACTGTTCAGTGTTCAGCTTCGTACAAGAGATTACACAAACAATAAAATATTTGTTCGAAAGTTATAAAATCTTTTGCTACAAAAGATTGGAAGAATGCATCCAGAAGGGTAACAGTCAAAGAAAACTATGTGGAGTAAAAACTAAACAAATGTATAAAGCACTTAGTGTTAGTATTTTTAACTATAATGTTTGGTAGTTTCCTAGCTTTGGTAGTTTTCTAGCAAAATACCTAAATTCTTTCGACTTTTCTAAACAGTCAAAAATATTTGACGCAAAAATTTGATGACGTCATAAATCTGTATCTCTTACAAAATTAATACTAACCTATTAAATAATTCAAAATAGTACGAACAATTAAGAATGTAAAAAAATAATGAACTGTCGCATCACAACATAGTTACTTTGATTAAACACTTGGACTACATAAAAACTGACATACTCCTGTGACTTTTGCATAATCTTACAAAAAACTGCTCATAAAAGTGTTCAAACTTAAGAGCTTAATGTGAAAAACAAGTAAATTGCACACAACCACTTAAAACTTACACCGAAGAATTTAAAAAGAACGAACATTTAAACCACTTTACAGCGGACTGCGAATCCAAGACTTCTTCATGTAAACCAGAAAATATTAAGCGAGGGATAAGATACCAGAATTTTTCTAACAATAGTAGATGAAGATGTTCTTTGTCCAGCAGTGGACGTCTTCTAGCTGTTGATGATTGATTGGTTGATTAAAAAGTACCGATAGGATAAGAAATATACTTATACTCCTTTGTAAAAAACAAGTACAAAATGTTAACTAGTAACTATTACGATGATAAGAATAATAGATTGATGTAAAAATACTTCGTATTTGACCTTTCTCGAGAAAACCTCCAATTAGGTTGGACATCCACAATTTCAACAAAATAATTGTCTTAAAAAATTGAGACAAAATATACCATGTATTAAAGGTCTACAAAAACCCTGATCTCTTTATTAAGAAAAATAGTGTAACTAATAGAAATAGTAGATACCTGAACATAGTATCTATACCGAGTCAACGCACTACAACGCACACAATAGAGTCAAAATGTATACTGTATGGCTATCAAAATTTATAATAGGCTTCCAAATAACCTAAAAAACCTTAACGTCATTTAGAAAAAAAATGTTTAAGATTTTGTTAAATAAGTGCTACGGTTCAATTAAAAAATTTCTTAATGACAAAGATTACCTACAAAAACATAGTTGTAGAATAGTGCACAGTATTTTTATAGGTAGAAAATAAGTCTAATATTTGTACACAGATTCGATAGAATGTATGAGAGATTAAATAGCATAAAACATATATTGAACCTACATTCTGACAAACAATTTTTTCTTTATTTCTGTCCTAATACTTCCTGAAAACCAAAAGGCCTCGTTTTATGAACAAATTGTTTAAACTTTCGGTAACTTTTCCGCAAATATTTCCGCCTTTAGCGTGCACCAGATGGTACCCATGTTGAGTAAGGTCCTCAAGGACACCCCAAGGAATTTGTTTACCAATGAGTTGACGTTGCAATATAAAATATCGACTAAATACTTCGTGTTACAATAAACATTCAGCGTAATATATTCTAAAAGTGTTTGGCATATTCTCAAAAACTTATGATTTATTCCAATATTTTTAAACTGCGGAGAACGCTCTTGTTGTTTTATAGAATTGGAACTAAGCAGGTGTTACATTAGAAACACATTAACGTTACACGGGTGATTACTTGCATGAATCTTAAGAAAATATAGGTAGATTTTTGCTTAGAAAGGTACACGTAGTTACAAAAAAGGAGTAATCACTTTACTTGATTAAACTAAACAAAAATGAAATATTAATGAAAAATACCTGAACCGGTTCTCAAAACGTCTTGATTTGGATTTGCCAAAGTAGGCATTAGAAGCCCTTGGAGCTTAATACTCGATTGTAATATAGCGCTACTCTACGAACGAGGTGTTTGCCATAGTCTCCACGCAAATATAATAATGACAAGAATTGTAATTTGCAATAAACTAGCGACCCGCCGCGACTTCGCACTGATTCAATATTCATGTATTGTATATATTGTACATCTTCCTTAAGAATCACTTTATCTATTAAAAGAACCGCATCAAAATCCGTTGCGTAGTTTTAAAGATCTAGGCATACATAGGGACAGACAGATGGCGGATAGCGAGTTTGTTTCATACTATGTAGTGATATCACATCACAACTGGCGCTAAATATCACAGACTTTATAAGTATTGCATAAAGTGGTTTAATATTATACAAATACTGGCTCACTAGATATGAATCAAGTACGATTTCCTGATGATTGGATCAGCAAATATTATTGTATGCACACGTGATCTATATGAAGTTCCCATATACCTCTACATAGTTATAGACTTGTGAGTAATCGATACCTCGATATTGTTGATGGGAATGTGAAAATGTTTAGATATTTATTTTGTAAACTATTCGTAGTTTTAATAGATTTGACCTTTGATTAAATGGCAATTAAAACTTGCTTAGCAAGAGATTGATTCCGGGTCGTGTAAAAACTTATCGGGGTTTGGCGATATACGAAATTTTCAGTAGTAGGATAAAATCTTGTTATTATGCCGATAATACTCATTAAACCCATGTTAAAATAAACGAATCGCCCATAGCGTGTTTTAAAAATTATGCACTCTGTCTGCTTGCCACAACTAAGGCAAGATTTTAAGTTATAT